TGCTTTTAAAGGGCCATCTGGCCAAGCTAATTCTATTATTATTTATTACCCTGTAGGCAGGTTATCCAACTTTGAACTGAATTTGATTCGTAAAATGCTGCCAGCTTTAAAGGTTGCTTTCCTGCCAAGTTCTTTCTGGAAGGCCTTTTTTTTGTTGAAAAGCAGATTATCATATTTAGTGATTGATACAGAGAGCCTTCCTAACATGGGGGATATAAGGATTCTTGCAGAATATACCAGGTGGATAGTCACTTCAGCTACTTGGCAAAAATTTTATATAGCTGGAATCCACTTTGTGTAGCATACCAGGGCACATTGCAGTATACAGTAAAACAGAATTAGTAATATCCATGCATTGTAGCCTGCCAGTCAATCTATATTATAGCAAAATCTCTATTTAAGGCTTGTCTACAGAAAGTTAGATTAGACTATGAATTCAGAGCAGAATAATTTTTCCTACTTAACTACCTGTGTGGATGCTCTCCTTTTGAAATAACATTTCCCTCCCACTTGGCTTGAACAGTAAATGAGCAACTACATTACTGGCCATTTACCATAGCAAGAAACTGTAAACCTCATTAATGAGGGAAAACAAAAATTCATCCATCAAGCCACACAGGAACTGTGCTACTTAGAAATACTGAGATAAAACTGGGTCAGGTTCCAGCTTGCATTGCTGAAATGCTTCTTTCCTCTCCCCCTCCCCAGCCCCCCACCAGAAAACCATATCAACCAGGACGACTAAGCAGAGCTACAAAGGAATCCTCACAACAACCCTTTCGGAGACAGGTCGCTGATATGTCCTGGGCATGAACATCGGATTTTGTTTTGATATCTGGGACCTGCAGCACATGCATTTCTACTGCATTTAGCTGGCTTTAGCATCTAGAACTTAATTTTCAGAAACTCTATGAGCTTGCATATAGCTCAGTAGCTATACAAAATGATTTATTTGGGGCTGGTCCTGTTTTGAGCAGGGGGTTAGACTAGATGACCCCCTGAGGTCCCTTCCAACACTAATTTTCTATTATTCTATGAATAGAAGGTCTGAAATTAGTCAAATTACAACTGAACCCAAACTGGGCTAAATGCTGTCCAGATGTGCAGAATGCTAATTCTAACAGGATTCAGATATACAAACTATCTTTTGGTTTAATTGAGACTCCTGGTTTCATTTGGATCATCAAGCATTAATTCCTACTGACCTGCCATGTTTTCCATTGTTTGCTTCAGAGAAGTTCCCTCACAAGGGAGCCTCTTACCCTGACCTATCATTGCAGAAGCATAACATTTCACCCCTTTGCCAGGCTGTGGTCCTAAGGCTGGGAAACCTGGGAGCCAAAACATTTGTTTTCAGTCTGATCTTCCCACTATAGTCAATGGGTTAGAGCAAGTAACTTGATAACATGATACCTGCCACAGCAGAAGACTGGACGTGACCCAGGAGATCCCTTTAAGTCCTGTATCAGAAGGTTGAACATCTTCAACCCTGCTCATTTAGCCTGTAATTTAAAACAAACACACCCGTTTCCTGGAGCTACAGCTGAACCTCCAAAAGATTTTACCAGTTGGTGCCAAGCTCCAACCAAGACAAGTTTCAATTAGCCGTGGTTTAAGGAGCTCCAGCCTGCCTTCTTACAGCACTACCATTGGATTGGCCTCCACCTACTTAAGAGCCAGCTCTGCTTTTTCCAGAAGATGGGCTTCTCAAGCACTTTATTCCACACACAGGTAGGTGATTTCAGGGAGGGCTCTCTTGAAAGCATACCGACTCCAGCATTGGGAAAGTCCAGCTTGATACGGGGGCAGTGGGAGCACAGTAGAAAGGCTCAGTGGGATATTACTAAGCCAAAAGAGAATCCCTTTCTTTCCCTCCTCACCCCACATACCCCTCGTCATCTTCCTTATGCCGGCATGTGAAAGGGAAGAGAAGGGCTGCGGATAAGGTCCCACCCTTCTCGTCAGCTCTTCTGTCTCTTTGGGCATACCAGCAGATGTCACAACCAAACAAAACACACAGCATAGCAAGACTCCCAATACAAAAAGGAGTGAATGGCTTTACTGAAAGTGAGTTTGGAACTAGATAAAATTGATAAATCTAAACACAAAATGCCAATAAGAGCTAGCACTGATTAAAGCTCCTTCTGAACAAAGCCATCCAGAGTCCAAGCTAGAAAGCCCCGTGATGACTCAGAAGCTGAATCTTATACGCCAAGCAGATAACGGTGGAAGCTGCACATTCAACCCACTCTAGAGACACAGTTCTACACCAAGTTGCTGACCTGAACAACTGGCTAGTATTTAGTCGCCTTGTTTGAAATTCCACTTTAGAGCCCCAGATATAGTAGCCCACAGCCCTCAAGGAATTAGAAGGTTTGTAGGATTTTATTCCCAAGAAAAAGGAATGTTTGGACTTAGGTTCTGGCAGGGACTGGCTGTTCCTCATAACTTAGTGGTTTTGCTTATATCAGTCTGTCCTTCACGTAGGAACACTACAAGTTTTCTCTTCCCAAAAAACATACATTCTCAAATGGGGAAAGGGTGAAGGAGTGGATGGGAGGCATTTTCAGACCCCCAAGGAGGAAAGAAGGGCAAGGTGAACCTGTTTTCTTCCAGAACAGACAAACATCTACTTGTTTTCCTAGAAGTAGAAAGTTAAATGCCACCATGATTACTTAGGTATTTAGTAAAGTCACATACATGACACTCTTGCTTATGGTTTTCTCTTTCCCTTTCCTTCATTCAGTTATCCCTTCTACTTCTGCCTTAAATTTCCAGGTGTCCGTCACCTCTTCCTTCTTCCCCACACCATTTCTACAGACACTTTGCTTCCCTGCTGTAATGTGTTCTCATTTTCCCTGCCTCAACCCCCTTCTCCTAACTCCCATGGTCTCATACACTCTCCACACACTGTTCCTCCATCAAAGCAAACCCTACTGCACTCTCCTGCCTTCACTTCTGGAGCCAGGTAAACCCGTCTTCAGCTCCTGGCCTGGACTCCAAACGTCTGACTCAAAACCCATTAAAATAAATTAAAAGATACCCACTGATTTCCAGTGGCTTTGGATCAGCCTTCTTTATCACCTTACTGCAACCAAACCAACTTATAAATATATGGCACCTATACACATGCTCCAGGGTGGGGGCATTCTAATTAAAACACCAACAGCGTCTCATGTATTCAGCATCCCATGTTTCAAAATGGCAGTGGGGCACGTTAACTAAAGTTTGATAACATGTAAAAGTGCTCATAGGTACAAGATTCCTCGCCTGAGGGTTATTCTGATTGTCTCCAGCTCTGTTTCATGCTAGAATTAAAAGAAAGAAGCTCTCAGGACAGCCATTCAGCCCACCCCTTCTCAAATGAAGGGCAGAGGTGGCTGGACACCATTTTGCCCAATTCCACTAAAGAACATCTAAAGCAGGGGTGTCAATATGACCCATGGGCCAGTTCCAGCCAAGGCAGCCCTATCATCTGGCTTCCGGTGCTGGCCCTGGATTTAAATTGACCTGCACGTGCTGACCCAGCCTCACGGCCAGGGCCCAGGACACACTCACGTTGCAGACTCCAGAGTAGCTGGAATGGGTGCTACACGTGGACCTTTCTCCCACCCCCAGGCAGTCTGGGACCCACACAGCACGCAGGCTGGAGACCCCTTCCACACCCAGCTTTAGCTAGGGGGTGCTGCATGCAGCATGGATTCTGGAACAGAAGCTGCATGCAGTGTAGTTCAGCCAGGGAAGCTGCTGTGTACTGCACACACTGCTTGCTCCAGCCAATCCAGGACCCATGGTGCACACGGCACCCGCTCCAGCCAAACTGTGCTATGTGTTGCTCTTGTTCCAGCTGCTTTGGCATCTGTGCCACACAGTGCTCACTCCAGTCAATCCAGGACCCATGCTACACATGGCACCCACAGCACCACATGCAGTGCAGGTCTTGGAGTAGGTGGAACTTGAGTGGCATGCAGTGGATCCACCACGCAGGGGGGATAGAAGGAGGAAGGGGGTGGGAAAGGCTTTGTGGGTTAATATCACTGATCTAAAGAAAGACCCTCCAACAGCAAGAAGCTGCTGCATTTCTAAATGCAACTCAACTTCAGGTTGCATAGGCAGCTTGCAGATGTTAAAAAACAAATCCATGCTTTACCAGAAGAAGCAGTGCATTAGTTCGACCTGGCTCCGCAGTGTCTGTATAGACTGGATGCTTCAGCAGGGTTTTTTTGCACTTTTATCTAAAAGCTGACTGAATCAGCTTTTAGATATAAGTGCCAGAAAAGCCCCACTAAAGCACCTGATCTACACAGATGTTGGCAAACCAGGTCTCAACTAATGTGATGCCTCTTCTGGGCATGTGTTTGGCACAGGAGTACACCAAATTTAAAATAAAGTGGGGTTTTTATGGTTTTGGTTTTATGTTTTTTTTGGATTGTTAGTTTCTTTGTTTTTTTTTTTTTAACATCTGTAAGCAGCCTCTGTGTATTTTTGCAGAACCCGATCTTGGTAGCTGCCTGAGGGGGCAGGGGGAGGAGGGAATCAGAGACCTAGAGAGTGCTCTGGATGTGCATACAATACAGAACAAAGACGCTTGCTTTTTTCTAGGTTTAGATATAGAACTCCCTTTCGCTCCTATAAAACTGTGCATCTTAATCACTAAAGTGGTATCAAGTCTCTCAGCCTAGGGCTGGACAGTTACTAATTGCAGAAAAACAGGGCAGAATGAGGGCAAAAAACAGTTGTGAAAGATGGACGGAGAACAAGCAATTAACAGAGATTACAATGACAAAATGAAGCAGTACCTGAAAAAATATCACAGGAGTCAAAACAAGAAAGAAACAACATCTTCCACTCAGTCCCCTCAACAGGGATGCTTGTTGAAGCCCAGAAAGTAGCAATCCTATCACTTCAGGCTGAAGTCTTTTAGGTCAAAGCAGACAACAGACAAAATGCACACCAGCACAATGCCATTAGAGTAACATCTCACATGCTGCTTAGCATACCTGTGTTTTTTGGTCCATCAGCATAGACTGGTCCAGGAGGTGGTGGTGCATTCTGCCATCCATACTGTGGATACCCTTGATAACCTGGTTGACCTGGTGGATACGGTCCAGTAGGCCCTGGTGGATACGGTCCAGTAGGCCCTGGTGGATAGCCTGGGTATTGACTGGGGCCTGGAGGTCCACCTGGCTGTTGCGTATACGGTGGATATGGAGCATTCGGGCCTGGGCCAGAATAAGGTGGAGGATTTTCGTAATTCATGTGGGATACAAAATCTTTCCTAAAGGGAGAGAGGGTAGGGGGAAAGGAAAAAGAAAGATATGATTTTGCTTTAGCCTGCTGAGTTTCTTATAAGCAGGGCATATAAATCCTAATTCAAATAACGATAAAGCTTTGCTTTTCCTCTGCTCCCTTCCAGAGACTGTGTAATTATTTAAAGGCATTAAATATACAGACCTGACAAGGATCCTGTCAGGCAGATACAAATCTTGAGCCTGAACCTGGCTCTAGTGAGACTCATGTTTTCTTTTAATTTTCCATGCCTCTGGTTCCCATGTTATTGGGTAGAGTTAATTCATAAGCACTACTATGCTTTAGCTATGAAGTCAGCTTGTATAGTAATTTCAAAGAAGATTCCTGAAACTTCCACAAAGTTAAAGAGATTTGGTATGATTACTTAAAAGCAATTATTTTGCTTTTCTTCAAGAGCTTGGAAAAAAAAAAAGCTTAAGTAGTTCACATCACTTGTAAATTATTTGCAACAAGTATGGGACAGTGAATGGATTTAATCAAGGGGAGAGAGAGAGAATTTGATCTTAGTGCAGTACAGCCAAGTCTGGGAACTCCTAAGCTGCTGTAAATACCTATATTCAAATCAGAACTAGAGAGGAATGCAGCATGCAAGTAATTTGTTAAGTTCAGATTTGGTCAGGAAACAGCACTCACTTCAAAAGTGACAAAGCTGGAGCATTAACAGCCACAAACAATCACAGATTTCAGGTATCACTCCAAAGCATCACTAAGGAGACTGAAAGTTCATAAACTGTGCCTAATTATTGCTCACAGCATTACCATCTTGGAACCACAGCTTTGTAATTTTAATAAGCCTACAAATAACATGACAGACTTTTTTTCCAAATGGGGCTATCACTAGAGAAAGGTTTACAGCAGTATTTTTATTTAAAATGCATTGCAGTAATGAGTGTGGAATAAGGAACAAATTAATCCATCATCTTTCAATGCAATATGTACAAGGACAATAGGAGAAGGGATATAAAGTTTAAAAGATTTTTGAAAATGCTGTTAATCAGAAATGTTATTAAATTTCACAATAATGTAGGTTAAAAAGACATTCCAATTTTCTACAGTGATTCTACTGTCTCTCTACAGATCAGGAGAGTTCTGCTTCCTTTCTCAGTCTGTGTTATCTACCCCTTCTCAAACTCTGCTGGTTCATACCAATACTCTAGATTGGATGATTCATGGCAACTGCAAATTTCTGGTGCTGGCACCAACAAGGCAGCAGAGGTGTGACTGGACTATTAACTGATCATAAATCTGCAGGATTCTCCTCCATGAACCCCAGACAAGGAAAGAGGAGACAGAGCAGGGTGGAGGCAAAAAACAGCCAAACTGGGCTGCCCATTTTTCTGCACTAAAATTTGCAACTTTACTGAGGTTTCGGTAGAAGAAACTGTTAGATTATGTCTGACTTTCTGTATGTCACAGCCCAATACTTCTTACTTCCTACAGGACTAAGTTTGAGAAGTGAAGAGACTCACCCAAGGTTATACTTCAGGTAAGTGGCAGAACCAGGAAAATAACTGATCTGAGTCTGACTCCGAGTCCTAACTTCTGGACTATAGCCCATCGTGAATAACCCATACTAATCAAAACTAAACATCCTTTCTAGCCATCTGTAAAATATAGAACAAACAGCATATGACATTTTTTCCCCTAGGGCTATGGCCAAAGGAAGCATTCCTGTTTTACAGACAGGCAAATAATTCACCTTTGTGTGCCTTCATTTTTCTAGGGTCACACAGCAGATTAACAACAAAGATTACAGATCACATTTAAAAAGGCAGGTAATATTCAGCAGAAGCAACCAAACATCAGCTACAGTGATCAGACAAACCAGTCAATGGAGCCAGTTTCTGCTTTAAACAGCATTCAGGAGGAAAGGCTGCAAATGTTTTCTTTTTTGAATCAGGTTTCAGGCCAGTTTAGCTGCTGCAAGCTCTGACTTATAAGCCATAAACAAGCCATGTTGTTCACATCAACTGTATTTCATCAGAACCTAAGCATCATTCCCCAAGGCTTGATCTCTAGGTCCTCTGCTTATTTACAGGTTGCTCTTGCCTGGGTAGAAGTCAACATCATGCTGATTTCTATCAGCATGCATGTGGAAATCAAGCAATACAAAACAGAGCCACAATTTTCGCAGAGGCCATAAAAGCCAGGATGATTACAGAGCCATCCCAGCAATATACCCCCTGAAGGTAATGGGCTGAATCTCCCACATTACTGGAAAGTCTTTAAATCGCAGTAGACTGACAGGATTGGGGAAATCCGAGGCTGAATTTTTGTAGTTCATTCTGCCACTTGAGATCCTATTCCAAGACTCCCTTTGCCACAGAGGTCAGAGACAGACTCATCAACTGCCTCTGTTGAAATAATTATGTTGTTGTTTTCTTTATCCATCCACACATAGCGATTTTCTATTGCCAGGTGCAGTGAACTGAGCTTAAGCTGTCCAGCTAATAAGGCAAATACAAACAGGGATCCTTCCACCCCCCACACTTTTTTTAAAAAGCCTGTCATTAGGGTAGACAGACTTCAAAAAATACCTGCCCCAAATGAACCAAAATATGGCCAACAGCAAACAGCAGCTTGATTTATCAACAGTACTATTTTGCTATGATTTATCTTCTGTCAAAGTAACAGCTATGGAAAATCCAGGGAAGAGGCCCACACAAGTTAGTAACTTGGACGGCTGCACAAAATGGCACCACTCTGTTTCGACTTGCGTTTCAATGGAACAGCATTTCATTTAGAATTTCATTTGGATTCGAAACCGCTGCTCTGTTTCGTCAAAACAGTCACACTGTTTCGTGTTTCACCCATAGGTTATAATGGGGAAGCTTGAAACAGCCTCTCTCATCTGGCAGTCAGATTGGGGCCCACCACCCTGGGAGGGCTGCAGGGACTGTGCAATGGGGTTCAGTTCCCTTCTCCAGCCCAGTTGAGCTGGGGAAGGGAACTGAGCCCCATCACTCAGTTCCCCTTCCCCAGCACTATGATCCATTGGGCTGGGGAGGGGAAGTCAGGTCAGCTGGGCTGAGTTGCCTTTCCCAGCCCAGTGGATCGCAGCGCTGGGGAGGGGAACTCAGCCAGGCTGCTTCAAATCTCAAAGTGTTTCAACTGCCCTAGTTTTGTTTTGAGGCTGTTTCAAAGTTCATTTCATTTCGATTTCGCCGTTTTGAGCTCAAGATGAGTCGAAACAGTGTTGAAATGAAACAGCCGGCAAAATTTCGCACAGCCCTACTAACTTAGCTCCTGATCTGGCAGGTGCAGATCAGCCCACCTCTGCCCAGGAGGAATCCAATGTTAATAGGATGTGTACACAATTACATATGCACACAGGGAGCTCCAGTTATGTTTTAGAGCTCTCAGGAGGCCTAGCAGTAAACTAGTGCCCCCCTAGGCTAGCTGCTGCACAGACATAGAACAGAGATAGTTCCTGCTCCCAAAAAAGCTTATAATTTAAGTGAAAAGACAAGAGATGGATAAACTGAGACAGGAGCACAAAGAAGGAAGTGGCAGGACAGGGAGCAGTCATATGAATTCAGCCATATTTGATCTATTTTTTCCAGGTAGAACAGCAAAGGAGAGTTTAAAGGGGATAATGAGTAGCTTTGAGCATGTTTATAATGGGGCAGCATGGGAGAAAAAACAAAGGTGTTGTCTGAAAAATATAACACATGATGGATGCCAGCTTCATGGACTGAGCAGAGGCAGGAGATGCAGCAGCATAAGGATGAGTGGGCAAGCAGGGCACGAGCCCCAGGCACTAAGGGTTGGGGCCACCAGAATGGACCAGAGAATTCCTCACTCTGCTGTCCCCAGTCCACCTGCATTTCCCAACTCCAGGCCCTATAGTAAGCAGCAGTAGCACAGGAATGCAGGACAGTCTGATAAATGTAGTTCTGTAAAGCAGCCTTATTTTTTGCCACTGAAAACAGGAGGTTTGTGTGTCCCACTTCCCTTACAAGTCCCTCTCCGACTCATTTTATGCCCTTTTCCTCACATGTCTGACAGAATGTTGTACTTGTGTGTGTTTGCAAAATTTGTCTAAGTGTGCACACAAACACAAGTCCTATTTGCAGACCTGTATAAGTATTTACAGAACTGGGGATGTCATCAACTATGCAGGTACTCTTTAATAAACAGGTCCTGCTCAAAACCTGCTTTCCTGTGAGCCCCTAAATCAACAGGGAGGTCAAGCCCTGGTTTCCCAGGGTAGGGACAATATACTGTCAATATATCCTAACTAGTAATTTCAGTCCATCTACAGCCTGGACTAACAAGATTATACATTTAGAGTAGCTACATGCTCTTACTTCATATGAATCATGTCATCTGCGTTTCCTGATTTGATTTTTTTTTTTTTTTGTAATTCACTAAACCAAAAGAAAACCAAGGGTTTTTCTTCTGCCCTTGTTTTTCATTCTACACCTAAAACGTTTTTCCTTAACTCAGGGGTATCAAACTCATCCAGCCCCGATGTGTGGCATGGGGCTGGTCCACAGGCTGGATCAGTGCCACAGACCAGATATCGCATGCAGAACAGCCCCAGAGTAGCCATGCTGTGACACGAGCTGGAGGGTGTATACAAGGCCATCCAGCATACCCCACAGGATGACTGCATATAAATTCAGAGACCCACAGGCAGCACCAGGGGCCAGATGATAGGGCTCTGTGGGTTGGATACAGCTGGCAGGCCATTACTAACACCTCTGCCTTAAATCAATAAAGCACTAATAGTCCTGGCTTAACAGTTTTTAGAAAACGAACATACTTTCTTA